CGGTGACATATGCTTTTATTGCGTGGCCGTGGCTCATCCACTCTAGACTGAATGACGCGGCTGAGGCCGGCCTATGTCAGGACGATAGCATTCAACGGAGTATAAAAGGCTGGACATGGCGGTATCAGGATGAATGAGCAGACAAGGTTCTTTTACAGTTCCACCGTCCCATATCAAAAGAAGATGCACTTTTCCAAGCTTTTCCTCGTCGCGGCTGCCACGCTTGCGGCCGCCCACCCCGGCGAAGTCCACGACGCTCGCGCCCTGAAGCGGGAGATTCGCGCTCGCGATGCATATGCCGTTGCGGCCAAGCGTGCATTGGATGCTTGTGCTAGCACCACTGAGGCACAGCAGCTGAACCAGCGCAATATCGCTCGTCGTGCCCGCACTGCCCGCCAGCTGCGCGAGAGCAAAGGAATCAAGACTAGTAAGTGAGCTCGACACTTCGTAATGCTGTCGCTGACGATTAAGATGCTCGCAAGTGGCGTCGTGATCTGGCTGCTCTCGAGAAGTGGGAAGCCATCAACCACAACAAGACCAATGCCCTCGACTGCTCCTCCAACACGCCGGAATCAGTTATTTTTGGCGGCAACACCAGCGCCATCCTGACCCCTACCGTTACCGACGGGCCATACTATGTCTGGGGAGAGATCCTGCGCCAGAACGTCAAGGAGGAGAAGTACTGCGATGGTGTCGATCTCCACCTTGAGGTGCAGTACATCGACGTCAACACCTGCCGGCCGGTGAAGGGCGCTGTGGTCGATATATGGAACGCCAATGCCACCGGTGTCTACAGGTATGACTCCACCGACCAGAAGATGGGCTCTGCTGACCTGACAGTGGCATCTCTACCTCCGGCAACTACGCTGCCGATGGCTGGGACTCTACCTATCTCCGTGGTATCCAGCGGACCGACAAAGACGGTGTAGTTACCTTTGACACCATCTTCCCCGGCCACTACGACGGACGTGCGACCCACACTCACCTCCTAACGCATCTCAACGCCACGATGAACGCCAATGGCACTCTGGAAGTCGGCACCGGCAGCATCGCCCACATTGGCCAGCTCTTCTGGAACGAGGTCCTTCGCTCTGCTGTCGAGGATACCTCCCCTTACAGCGCCAACACGCAGGCCATCACCACCAACGCGGACGACATGTGGAGTGTTCTGCAGGCGTCGGATGAGTACGATCCATTCCCCGAGTACCTGTACCTGGGTGAGGGATTGCAGGATGGTCTCTTCGCGTGGATCCAGATCGGTATCAATGCCTCGGCCGACTACACCGACAACTCGTACTACAGCATTGCTGCGTACTATGAGGAAGATGGTGGACACCAGAACACCGGAAGCTCGGCATTTGGCGGCTCTGGCAGCGGCAATACGAACGGTACGATGCCGTCGGGGGCTGCTCCTTCTGGTGCGATGCCTTCTGCCTCTCCTTCTTCCAGTGCATAAATAACATTAGAGGGCTTGGGTACAAGTTGGGGGGTAGATCGGATAGAACAAACTGGTATCTGTGTATTTCCTTGTACGCTAGAGATAGGAATCTGAAGATGTGCTCTGCTTGATTGTAATTTGCAAACCAATCATCGAATATGACTATTCAGGAGGCCACTGAACGTCCTTCCAAGGCCTTCCGTTGGTCGACTTGGCCAGATCCTCCATAGTCTTCCACTTCCAGGTCTTCTCGTGCGGATTGACTAGGTCATTATCACTCCCCAGCCCCGACGGAGTATGATTGATCTTGTTCTCTCCCATCAGGAAACGCAAATACCTCGCCGGGTCATTCGCGACCTTCCCCGTCGTTCCCTCCTTATACTTCGTCAGATCGACCTCCGTAACCTCAATCGGTCCCGCCCCTGCACCCTCCATGATCTTCGCAATCTCCTCAATTGACTGTGTATCACCGCCAAGATGCACCACATCCGGAATACTCATCAACGGCATCGCCGCCAAAGACGCCACCGTCCGTCCTACATCCTCCAATCCAGTAAACGACACCGACGACTTCGCACTCCCCACACTCTCATACCTTCCCCGTTTGGTATCAAACCCAAACCACGGCCCGATACTATCCTCCAGAAACAGCCCACAGAACACTCTGCACACCTTGACCTGCGGGATGAGCTGTCCCGCAAGTCCGAAATGCCTTTTCTTCTGATCCCATTCTCCATGGGAAAAGTCATGAATGTAATGGTCCACCCCGAACTCGGAGGGAAAGTAGACCTGGACCCCGGTTGAGGGTAACGCACGGAGCAACTTCTCCTTGAAGGCGTGGCCGGAAGCGCCGATTGTGTTGACGAGCACGTCGACGCCCTCCAAGGCCGCAGCGAGATTGTCTTCGTCGTATTTGCGGACTGTCAGCATCGCGCCCATATCTTCTGGGGCTGGCGGGACGGGTGGATTGTCATGTCTGGATAAGAGGATTATCTCCGAGAAGTAGGCGTGGAAGGGGGGAGACAGGAAGGCTGAGGCGACGTGTTTGCCTAGGTGCCCTGTGGCGCCTGCGATGGCTACCACGGGGCGGTTGGTGATGGGGGGTGTTGATGGCATGAGTTGATCTGCTTTTCCAGAACTTCTGGATATACTAGATGAGAGCCCGTGGTATCGATTATATCTCGGTTGCAGTCCTCATGTCATATACTTCGTCGGGATGACATGATATGATGGCTGACGTCAGTATATAGTATTCCGCGCTTTTCAAACACCACAAACGGCGAAAATTGAGTGAACCAATGAGAACCTTCAATTGGTCTTGTTTGCTATAGGCACAGATCAAACTGCTGATATTGGCAGATTACCAGGAATGCCTGGGATCGACGGAATGCTTCCGTCTGCGGGGAATGGCTGATCAAGCTTAAAGCCAATCCTTAGTAAGTCTTACGAATTTGATTAAAACGTCTTCCAGGTCTGAACAGCCCAGTAACTGTACATGCCGATTCAAGTGCCGAAGGCTACTAATCTACAAGGAAAGCCTACATCGGATCTTGAGCCCAAGTTCCTCGAAGGGCTGTCAAGAGTTCTCGTATGGTTTGCAGCTATTGATTGTCTATTTGGAGAGCTGATCAGCCTGTATACGATCGACTACCACAGAATGACTGGCTTGATCGTCTCCCCAGATTGCATATCACGGATCGCCTGCTTAAAGTCCTCCGCCTTGTAGAATTTGACAATCTTCTGCAGAGGCAGACTTCCGTCTCGAACCCATTTGACCATCTTAGGGACATACTCCTTTGGATTGACATCTCCCTCTACCACACCCATATACTGCTTCCCTGCTACCATGAACTCATGAATCGGGAGAGTCAACGTCCCGGTCTCCGGCGCTGTTCCAACCTGCAGAATCTTCCCCTTGAATGAAGCCATTCTGACAGCTTGCGCAATCAGCGCCGGCACGCCAGTCGTGTCCAGCACGATGTTAACACCCAGGTTGTTCGTGGCCGCCAGAACAGCGTCCGATACACTCTGCGGGTCCGCCGTCGTATCAACCTGCACGACATGCGTAGCACCTAGTTCCTTCGCCAGCTCCAACCGGGAGGCATGTCGTTCCACACCGATGATCTGCGCACAACCGGCAATCTTCGCGCCCATAACGGCACTCAACCCGACACCTCCCAAACCCAAGACAGCCACCCGGTCCTTCGGAGTAGCCTTTGCTGCATTAAGAATCGCCCCGCTCCCAGTCTGAATCCCACAGCCCAGAGGCGACAGCAACTGCAGCTCTGACTTGGTCTCGACCACCCCGCGAACATTAACCACTGAATCTTCGCGAACGATCGAGTAGCTCGCAAAGCTCGACTGGCCGAAGAATCGTCCGTAGATGCTCGGTTCCGTCGCGGTGGATGCCGATGCCGATGCCTCCTCGCTGAAGACAAGGTTATCAGGCTCCACCTCGAAGTTTATCGCGTTGAAGTTGGCACAGTGCGCGGGGTGGCCTGTCTTGCATGGCTCGCAGGTCTTGCACGCGGAGAAAGACAGGATAACTGGGTCGCCCACTTGGGCGACGTGTGTTCCTGGACCTACCTCTCGGACATATCCGGCGCCTGTTGTTTACTTAGCTGGTGTACTCGTCCTAGGGGGATATGATACCTTCGTGACCCATGATCCGGGGATAGTGCACGCCGAATCCACTCTCTGCGCCTGCAAAATGCAGGTCCGTCTGGCAGATTCCCGATGCGACGATCTCAACTAGGAGTTCTTTTTCTTTCAAGGGACGGAGAGTGATGTCCTTGAGCTTCCAGCCTCCTGTCTTGTAGGAGCCGTAGGAGACGATGCCTCGTTTGCGGGGTGTGGGTTGATTGCTTGTCATTTTGCCCTGGCAGTAGAACCGGATAGAATACTCCTGTTCCTTTCTGAGGTTCGCAATACGGAGTACTTAAACCCCAGATATTGATGGAGATGCGGAGTCCCCGCCCCCATCCCGACTCCGACTGCCGACGCTGATCGAGGGGATCCACACGGTCTATCGCGGGGTATGATTTATCACATACACGGTGGAAGACAAGTCGATGATTAATCTCATGTCCAATATTAATACAGCTTGCCATGGTACTGAAGCCTATCGGGTTAAGGCTTGGCCTTCATCCGTCGATTGGGTCGAGCCCCAGCTAAATTTAACATCAACTCCAACGAGGCTGCCACTAACTGGCCAAAGCAAAAGCACACCAAGCAGGCTAGTATCGTCATGTTCTTGGCCAAGGGACGATACGAGCTGCCAAGGCTCTAAGCAGGCAAGCAGGGAATGACTGGGCGTTTCCACATATCAGAGACAGTCTCGGTCCGCTCAGCCGTGATATCAGCACATGCGTGGACAAGGTTAGCCAACCATTGCGAATGGCATTTCCTTGGCAGGAGTATCCTAATTATGCAGGAGAGACCACGCGCGACCACGCGATCAGCCGCTCAGCATTTATTATGAGCGGGAGCTCACTGAAACGGGACAGCTCTTCAGGTCCACGCATTCTTCCGAACGGCCGGCAGCGCCAGTCAGTACGTGATAATGACTGCAAAAGGCTCGTACAATACAAGCCTCCTCGTTCTCCTCTGCTGCACCCTGTTCATCACCATTGCAGAGGCAACAACAGCTACGCTCACCGACTCTACGGCCTATGCGTCGCAACGGCCCTGCGCAAAGAAGTGCTTCTACTGGGGCTCCTCCTCACAGGGCGGCGCCGATTTCCTCGCGAACCGGATCGACTGCGGAGTCGATCCCATCGAGAATGAATGTATCTGTCGCTCAGATCTCCAGCAAACCCCCGACTCGTTCCTCCGCAAATGCGTGACTGACAACTGGGACGCGAATGCCATTGACGTTTCCAGCGCCGTCAGGATATACGACGATTATTGTGCGAGTAATGGGTACACGAGGGCGACGTCCACCGCGCAGACGACCAGGACGACTTCATCAGGTACGCCAATCGCCCCTGCGACTGTCACGGTGACGGTCTTGCAGACGGTCCTAGCGTCTGGGGGACGGCGTCTGCGGCCGGCGGTGCTCGGGCTGCGGCGAGGACGAGGTTGACGCATGTGGATGCTTTAGAGTCCACTTTTCAGGCGAGTGCTGCGATGTCCACAAGCGAGAAGGCATCAGATCGGACGACCGAGTCTACAACGCAGTCGCTGCCATCGGCAACCCAGACCACAGCAACACCGACTACCTCGTCGGGTACTGGAGAGGGGGACAAGACCAGTCAAGGCGATGGAAACAAACTGAAGGTGGGAGACATCGTCGGTATAGTCGTTGGTATTCTCGGCTTCATCGCACCGGCCGTGGGGTCGTGGTTTTCATACAAGACTCTCAAGCAGAGGAAACGCCTCGCCGCGAACCCTCCCTGACAATCCAGTGCCTGTCTTTTTCCATGAAGTCCAGGGTCTTGACGGCTTTGTCTTTGTCCTAGAATTAGTGAGACTCAACTACTCAATGATATACGGCAGGTCAGATATATATAACCGTGCTAAGAGAGGCCGTCAGAGTCTAGTTCCCAAACATTGGTCTAAATCGTAGAGTAAGAAAACTGTACAGATCAAGCTCCCATTAAGCATCACTTCCACTTAAATCAAGGCACCTTCAGCATGGTATTTGGATGCATCAACATGGAATATCAGTATCGCTCTTCATGCCTTACCTTTAAGGCTTTAATGCGGATGAGTAAGCATTGACCCATCAATCACATGACCTCTTGTCATCATCATCAGCGACGCGTCTTTTTTGCCTCATCATTTCCAACCCACAATCGATGCTGATTGATGCTGGCAAAATGGGCTCTTAGGCGCGTTCAGCGCAGCATGCCTGGGATTAGTACTGCAAGGACAGTCAGACCCTTGTACTACCCTCTGGGCTATTCACTTTACTCCATCCGCACGACATCACGGAAAAGACCACAGCATGTAGTCCCATTGCAGAGGCGTGGCCTGTTTACATCTGCCATTCCACCTGTCCTGATACCGCCTGTAATCTTCATTACTCTGCTACTGGGCCTATGGACATGGAAATGTTTCTGGATCGTCGTGATGCAGGACAAGCTCTTGTATATCTCGTGGCTACCGCCGTTCGCCCGCTCGGAGCAGATATCCGACTACGCAGGCGAATGCAAGCCCGTCCGGTGGGAAGAAAAGCGCATTCGAAGTTTGGACGGGACCAAGTTGGCTGTATGCGAAGGTCGGATGCCAGCTACCCCTCGCAGCGTGACCCGGAAGCCGCATGCGCAGGGGCATGGGCCGGCACGGAAGAAGGTAGTGGTGATCTGCTACTTCCAAGGAAACGGCGGTTCGACTCCCATGCGTCTACCGCTATTGTCGCAGTTCCTGCGGGCTATCCACTCGCCAACCGGGGACGTGGACTATGTCGTCGTCGCCCTGTCGTATCGCGGGTACTGGACGTCCTCTGGTCGCGCGAGCCAGATAGGGATCGAGCTCGACGCGGTCGCGTTTCTGCAGTGGGTAGCCGAGACGTACAGCGCACCTGACAGGGATGTCCGGATGGTGCTCTGGGGTCATAGTCTGGGCACGGCGATTGCCAGCTCTGCGGCTGCGACGTACCTGGCTCGGCAGTCATCAGCATGTAGTTCTCTGTCCGTTCCCATCGCCGGAATGATACTGGAAGCACCGATGTCGAGCACCAAGGACATGCTGATCAGCCTGTATCCGCAAAAGTGGCTGCCGTATCGGTACCTGTGGCCGTTTCTCTGGAATAATTGGAGCAGTGCGGTAGCGCTGGAGCGGATGGCGCGGTGGCGGGATCAAGATCGTGATGAGAGAGGGCATGAGCATGCGGTTCCGCCGATCCTGCTGCTTTCGGCTGAGAAGGACGAAGTCATCCCGGCATATGCGGCTGCGGAGCTGGAACAAGAGGGCAGGAGACTTGGACTGAAGGTGGACAGATTGGATGTCTCCGGGGCCATGCACGCGGAGATACCGGTCAAAACGGCCGGGAGGCAGGCCATGATGGATTTTATAAAGAAATGTACCGCTTCGTAGAGACAGAAGAGGTAGATGATTAATTTTTGATTCTTCATATAATCCGTAATAACCGCGATCTCTAATAGACCTAGCACTGAAGCTCTCTGTGAACCCTTTGATGTCCCTATGTATTAAATAAACACGTGAGAACCAACGGTAATATTAATAACATAGGGCGGATTACCCGGCAGCCCCCATCTACTCAGTCAGGAGAAGAAACAGAATTGAGCAAATGCAGCCGCTGCCGGAGGTTAGCTTGCAGGGTCCTCGCCTCTAGCATTGCCGCCCGCGCGATGATCATCACACAGGATCCCGGGCTAGTATCCGGCTCCCAAGGCCAGGCTTGCTCTCCCCGGCCCGCAGCAGGCATACTCAACGCCAGACGTCGGAGCGCGGCCTCGAGATTGCCTAGCAGCTGCGAACTCACGCAGGCGAGTAGCGCCATGGAGGATGTCATGGGGGTGGAGAAAGAACCGATCTGGAAGCGCAGTGGTTGCATCACATTCCCATTCCCATTCCCTGCTGGAGACGCGGGGGCGATTGTGACTGCGGACGGGCTGGACAGGGCGGTGTTGTAGAGGTGGAGGAGGCGAAGGTAGCAGGAGAGGATCAGCAGGGAGGTAGCACCGTCCGGTGACGATCGAGAGGCCACATGGAAGGGGTAGTCGAAGTCTGCGCGTGGGCAGGGGGGTTTGGGATGCTGAAGAAATTTATGATTATCGGGGTCATTATGGGTAGGAACAGGGGAGAGAATGTCTGCCAGGGACTGGGTGACGGCAAGGATCTGGTCGATGGTGATCGTTGGGGGCGGATGCACCACGGAGTCCGATTGCGCTCCGGCAGTGGCTGCTGCCGTTGCTGCTGCCAATTGGCAGGAATACTCGTTCAGCGTACAGCACCCGCGCGCAACTGCTCAACCAATTCGCCGATGCCTTTCTGCAGTTGGCCCCTGAATTTACGACGCTACTGCAGGCCGAAACTGGTCGAACGGTGAGTCGCAAATTCATATCCGCGCATTGCGTCTCAACATGCCAATTCCATGGGCTTCTGTCGAGCAAACTGCGCTGATATCTACATCAGAAAGATGTCGCGCAGATGGAGGTCCATTGGTCCGTTCTTTGGCTCCGTCATCCGGGTGAGTGAGTCAATGAAGCCATTCACCAGAAAGACAGACTGATAGGCAACAGCGTCACAGGTTCTCCCTCATCAGGTATTGCAGGATGAAGACAAGGAGGTGACCGTCCGGTATGAGCCTCGAGGGGTGGTCGCAGCGGTCTGTCCGTGGAATTGTAAGCTACATGCCTATGGATCCTGCATATAACCTGCTAACAATTGTTCGCAGGTCCAATTATGATAGGTGAGAGTGATATAATGAGAGTGGTGTGAAAAGGCTGATCGAGACAGCATTTGGCAAGATCGCCCCGGCGCTGGCTGTCGGGAATTGTGTGATTGTGAAGCCTGCGTAAGGGAGTCGGCTGTGTTGGTTGAGCTTCGACTAAGTGTTGCAGACCCTCCACACCGTACACGAGTCTTAAGTGTATAGAACTGGCGCAGTCTATCTTCCCTCCCGGTGTTCTGCGAGTGCTGGCCGATGATGGCCATCTGGGGCCTTTGTTGGTCGATCACCCTGGCATTGCCCATATCTCCTTCACGGGGTCCACGCCCACCGGGAAGAAGATCATGGAGGCTGCGTCAAAGACGCTCAAGAAGGTGACATTAGAACTGTTTGTACCCACTGCCTCTGCAAATTTGGTCAATCCAGGCTAACCCAGCCAGGGGTGGGAATGATGCCGCCATCATCTTGCCGGATGTGGACATCGAAAAAGTGGCTCCGCAGGTCGCCATGGGCGCATGGTGGAATTCCGGCCAGTCATGTATCGCGACCAAGCGCGTTTATATCCATGAGTCCATTTATGAGCGCTTCCTGCGAGCTCTGGTGGAATTTACCCGGTCCTACGTCACGGTCGGATGCTCCTCGGTTGATGGTGCCACCATGTTGGGCCCGATTCAAAACAAGATGCAGTACCAGAAACTGAGAGATCTGATCGAAGACTGCCGACGAGAAGGGTGCAACTTTTCCTTGGATCAACCTCTTACAGCACAGGAGGATCTCGTGCGCCAATCCCTCGAGTCTGGCTTCTTCCTCTGGCCGATGATTGTAGATAATCCCCCGGCAGGTTCCCCTCTGGTCACTGAGGAACAGTTTGGTGGGTTGTTTACTGAAATGTACGAGGGACGCGCGCTGACAAGCCATTCCAGGACCTATCATCCCCTGTATGTCCTTTTCTGATATCGAAGCGGTGATTTCCGCCGCCAACTCCACTTCAGCCGGATTGAGTGCAAGCGTATGGGGCGAAGACGCGAAGGCAACGCAGCGGATCGCGGACAGCCTGGACGTAGGAACGGTCTTTGTCAATGGGCCCTCACGTCCAGATCCTCGCGTCCCATTCTCAGGCCATAAAGAGAGTGGAATAGGGGTAGAGTATGGATTGATGGGACTGATCGAGTACTGTCAGGTGAAATCTGTGGTCAAGTACAGAGCATCTTCTTAACTACTAATATGAGACTATCTATGTCAATTACCATTACGTACTATATGTTTATAACTACCGGCACCTCGAACTAGTTCTTGTGCTGTTATATGTGGAAAATGATCCGGTGCAGTCAATTCGCCTCTGGAAATCAATCGTCTCATTGTTAATATCGTCGCGACTCACAGCCAACCCCGACTCAACCGACGCAAGGAAGATTTCATAGGTCCAAGCGTGGCACTCGACGTGCGCCGCGCCTGCGCACCAACATGTCGAAACCAGGTCAGAATGGCCTGCCACGACACAGTAATGTAGATAAGGCTATTCCAGAATCCCTGCAAAGGAAGAGCAAAGCTCGAGGCACAGCTCAAGCCGAAGACATAGTGATTGGAGGCGGCAAGCGCATAAACACGGTTGGCTGATGAAGGGACCTGAATCCTGTCAGTATATATCCAAAATGAGAGGCGATCACGTACCCATGTGACGATTAATGCCGCAAAGAAGAGAACGGCATATTTATAGTACGCCTCCGAGGCAGAGCTAGTGTACGCGCCGGAATGGCCTAGGTCGTAGTTGTGGTGGCGGACTGTAGTCGAGGTTGCAGGAGAGATATTGGAGGAAAGAGAGACTGCGGTACTAGGAGGGGCATTTGGGGGTCCAGTATGACTTTGATTAGACCAGACCTCAGGAGAAATGATTTGTTGGGATGAAGTATGAGTAGAACTAGGACTCCGCTCTCCGTTTGAGTGCTGTCGGAAGCTATCAAGTGACACTGCTTGTACTGTTCCATGGAGATCAACGTCTCCCGCCACGGTGGCGTCCGTGGCATGTTCGAAGGTCGGCCGAACGATCTTTTTCAGTTGGCGTCGTTGTCGCCAAATGGTCAAGCCAACCCGGATGTAAATGGCGAGGATGAGCAAGACAATGAACCAGACTGGTCCGTAGAATACGGCTATCTGGAGAAAATCCCACCGCAACGAGACCCAGCACCATAACTGATCTTGATAAATATCGACACTAAAGCACTACTTCGACAAGACTTACCACTGAATCGCCGTATACCTTGCCCCTCGACTCTGAGCTGATGAAGAGATACACAAACGCAGGAATAAACGGCACTCCATAACAGAAAAGCAGATACTTCCACTCGAGCATCCCTAGGCGTCTGGTATCGTAATGCTTGAAGAACGCCAGGTACACATTGTAAGCCATGGCGAGCGCCCACAGAGAGTCTGCTGGCAAGAACCTTATAGACCAGTATCAATAAATGAATCCTGCCATATCACGAGCATTGACTGACCACTGAATCATGAACCCCTGGAACTGGCACAGGGCGCCTCGGGAACTATCCTGCAGACTGGACTCAGCAATGAGAGTCGCAACATTCGACAAGAGATTGCCCCATGAGGCATAGAAGATCAAACGATTGATCGGTTTGCGAAATTCCCTCGAGCTGACAAAGGTCGCAATGACGACACCCGAGGCAACCACAGACACGCATGAGCATACGCGCTCGATGATCGACAAGATAGACTGCTGATGCCGACTGAGCTGCGTGCTGTGTTGATACATGGAGACCCAGCCTCGTCATGAACCTATCAAGACTTGCTGGATTGTGCAAAAGCGCAAAAAATAAATCACCGAGTCGACACACATAGGCCGATCTCTGGAACGCCTCGAATAGCTCAGCCTTTCTGATGGTAGACATACAAGCTGACTCCAAGACATGTACACAGTCATCCTGGTAGAATTACTGTACTATTGCAAATTCATTGTCATATTGCATGGCGCAAACACTGAAGCCGACTCAGCTATCCGGATCAGCGGAATGCTGACTGGGTTTCCCGGCTAATCCCGTGCAATCTCCAGTTCATAAACTAATGCGAAGGGTTCATTATGAGCAGTATGTTTCCGAAGGGTAGAAGTAGAGAAGTTAGAAGTCGACCTACTGTTGTTGAACTGGCGAAAGAGACATGATAATTGGGCTGTTGCCGCATATGAGGATCGTGGGTGATGATGCTTTGATTACACGTCTGCCTCCCCGAGACATATCCGACTGGACCATAACCCCAAAGGCGTCATGCTTCGGGATTTGCACTTGTTCCCCGAATTTCGGTGATTTGACAATCTTTTCCAAGTTGCAGATCATTCCTTGCCTGCGTGGAATGCTCCTCTTACACCTCTCTAGAAAATGTCTGTCTCGGATTCATTGAACTCATGCATCTGTACTGTCACCATATTCCGGTGGTATTGCTTCGGACTTATGTTCCGCGCTTCGTCGAACATATAATAATAATCGAAACGGGCAGGGACACTACTTATACCTCGTCCCTGCTCTGCGCTGTAGGTGAATGCCTGTGTCGTCTTGGGGAGGATCGATATAATCGCAAGAAGGATGCCGCCATTCTTATGGCTCTGGCAGGGTACATCGGTGTATATAATTAGGAGACGTCTTGGAATTGTACCATAATGTTCTAAGACATCAGGTTGTGCTTGGTACAGAAGGCCTTTGTACCACGCAGCGGTGGGAAACAGGTAAGTATCAGTCAGATGGATTATGATCCCAAGAACTGGATGCTTCAGATGGTGTCAATTGTGATCCCTTGAGTACTACACAATTCCCGAAAATGACCCTGACTCGCAAGCAGTTCCCCTGGATGACCTGCCTCAAGAATACGTCCCTCACCGAGCACTACCACCAAATCACTATCCAGAATAGTTCGCAGGCGATGCGCAACGGTGATAATCGTCTCATTTGCAAACTCCTCCCGAATAACCCGTTGCATGACCTCATCGGTTCCCCAGTCAACATTACTGGTTGCCTCGTTTAGTATGAGAATAGTGCCGGGCCTCAGCATTGCCCTCGCAAGGCAAAAGAGCTGCTGCTGGCCATGCGACAGAGCCAAAATATCAATATCGGTGTCAAGGCCACCGCGCTTCTGAACGTGCTCCCACAGCCCGACTTTCTCGAGGACTTTTACGATCCGGTTGTCTGCGACTGTTTCGTCCGGCGACGCATTGAAACGGACTGTTCCGGGGAGCAAGAATGGATCCTGCGGGATCGCAATTAACCGTGAGCGCACCTCCTGCCGGGATATGTTCTTGAGGTCAATCCCGTCAATAGTGATGCTGCCACTCTGGAGTTCGATCATGCGGAACAAAGCAGAAAGCAAAGAGGACTTGCCGCTGCCTGTCCGGCCACATATTCCGACCTTTTGTCCGGGTTGAATGACCAGGGAGATACCCTTGAGAACAGGGCTGTCCGTGTCACTAGCATATGAAGCAGTGATATTTCGAAACTCCACCGCGCCGCGAGCAGGCCAGTGTTCTAGGGGCGCAGTCAGAGACCTGGGGCTCGCTTCTTCCGACATGGTCGTTTCCACAAACTCCTTAACCCGGGAAACTGCCTGCAACGACGTCTCCAAGTCTGTGTAGAAGAAGATGAACTGGGACAAACTCTGGCTGAAGCCGAGGATGTTGAGCATCGCAACACCTAGACGGCCCCCGCTCGTGCTGCTCGGCAACTGAGTCGCCAGGCTGACCAGCAGAATAGCCAGTGCTGCGACTATGAGATCAAGGACAAAGGTCAGCCAGCGCTGGATGCAGTAGATGAGGTAGACTGGGCGCTGCGAGGCGTCCAGTCGTTCCTGATTCCGTCGTTCGAATGTCTCCTGCCAGCCGAAGGCGCGGATCGTCGGGAGACCTTCGAGGGTCTCAGAGATGCTTGAGAACAACGGAGATTTCAGTTCCAGATCGAGTAAGCGCAGTTGCCTCGACGTCCGAAGGTGGAATCGTTGTAGAGCCCAGGTCGTGCCAAGGCAGAAGGGTATCGCAATGGCCAGGTAGGTAGACCCAACGGCTATAAGAGCGATCTGTGCTAGCGCTTGGAAAGCCATCGGTGTTGCCTGCATTGTGGATACAGGGAGGCGACTGTTGATCAGCGACATGTCCTGACTGAATCGGTTGAGGGTAATCTCCGAGTCTACAGACGAGAAGAATGACATGGGCGCATGAATAACGGAATCAAGGAGCTGCAAGTGCAGTTTCGCTGCTGAGTTTGGCACGATAGAGATCATCATGCACCAGATGGACGAACTATAATTCGCAATGGCTCCAACTGCCAGAGCAAAATAGACCCCTAAGAAGGACCCATCGTTGGAATTCTTAGATTCCGTCCACCACTGAACCCAGACCTGGGTGAAGCTGGTGCAGAACACATACGCCAGGCTTGTAAGGAGAAATATCGACGCACGACACCATCCAATGGACTTCAAGTAATACATCAACACAGCTGAATCGGATATAGGCTTCCTTTTTAGGCCCGGGGCAGCAGCAGCATGCGGCAATGACACATTTGCTCTCTCTTGAGCTTGGTTTGGAGAAACTGAATCAGAAGCTGGTAACAAGGTGTCAGATTCTGCACTGCTCTTGTCAGGGGGACAATCAGCTAGCAGGCGTCGAACGGGCCCCTCTCGACCGCTAAGCTCTGTGAATGAGCCATGTTGTTCGATACATCCTTTGGAATCCAATGCAATGATGTTGTCCGCAGATCGAAGATGTTGCACTGAGTGAGTGACCAGGATGACTGTCGATCCCAGCTGCTGGAAGAGTCCCGTTTTGGACAGCAGACGATCAAAAACCAGTTTCTCAGTTCGGGCATCGAGAGCACTCAGGGTATCGTCAAGGACGACTAATTGTGCTCGAGCGTAGACAGCCCGGGCGAGGGCCAGCCGCTGCTTTTGTCCACCGCTTAGACTGGTTCCCCGGCTTCCAACAAGAGTATCATCTCCATCAGGCAGTTGTTCAATGTCTTCGTTCAATCCGCAGGACCAAATCACCCTCTTATACCAAGCCTCGTCGTACGGAGAGTGATTGAGGATGTTCTCTTTAACTGAGGCGTTAATGAGCCAGGGCGTTTGCTGGCAATAGGCAATTGGAGAATCATCTACTATCACTTTGCCACTGGAGATGGTGATCTCGCCGAGGAGGGCGTTGAGCAGCGTGGTTTTTCCACACCCCACAGGGCCGATGACTATGTTTAAGAGATCTTTCCGAATTTCAAAGTTCTGCTTGTGGAGAATTAGATGTGAGTCCGCGGAGTAGGAAATGTCTGCCTCTTGCCCTGAAATTGCATGTTTACCAATACTTTTGCTTCTCCCTGTCGTTCCCAAGTTCCTCGGTTCGATCTGGTTTTCGCCTATAATTGACTCTTTCGCGCTCTCCCGGCTACTTGCAAGGCCGGTAGCCCTGCCATCAACACGATCGTCAAGCTGAAGGTAAGCCTCGATACGTGTGAATGAACCGAGGGATCCCGCAAAAGACGGAATGGAAGATAAGACCTTTTGTAATGGAGTGGCCAGCAGTTGAGTCAGTGAAAGTGTCGCGAATATCTGTGCTGCAACGGAGTCAAGTCCCTGCTGTGATTTGACACCATATATATAGACGACAAAAGCGAACGGGGCAGAAAATTGCAAAGGTATAGTTGCTAGAGTCATGAGGTCAGTTCATTGCTCGTGCTCTCAGGAGGAGAACCAACAGATAATGGCCATGTACGCAAAGAAACTCCGGTAGCGCTTCGACAAATCCAGCTCGTAGACCCTGGCCACCTGAATTGCCCGAGCAATCGTCTCCTGCAGGCCCATCATCTTGACGCTTTTCATGTTTCTGAGGACTGACGATGTGAGGGTTACCCGCTTCTGGATCGCAGCGCCCCATTCCCGTTGGCGCCGTGGGACATACTTTGCGATTCGCGTATTTGCCGCGGTAGCCACTGAATTGAGCTGGTCAGAAGCGATATTTGGGATATTGAATAAATTTCAGACATACGCAAAGCAAGTAATACAGGGGCAATACTGGCCCAGCCTAATTGGCGTTGCAGCAGCACGAGGGCTAATATGGTTTCAATGCTACTGGCCCAGATCTCATGCCCACTTTCAACGGTGAGGCCAATCCGATCCACATCCGAACTAGCCAGAGTTAATGCGGCGGATGATTTGGCTTCGTTTAGATGTAGTCTCAAGGTTTTGCGGTAGATGATGCTCACAAGCGAGCCGCGTATCATGACGGTGGATCTGTATACTTTGAGATTGTAAACTCCAGTGCTCACCTAATGAGATGGTCAGCACCATCCATTCAGCTCCCGTACTCGCTTGCAGACTTACTGCAATTCCAATGTACACGATGGCTGTCGCTCCGATCAGACCGTAGCCGGCATTTATATCACGGTCTGTATCTGGGAGCTGCACATAATTGACCACACTCGCCAGCAAGAGTGGTTGGCAGTATTTGAAGCCGATAAGCGCAATACGAGGGGCCACTGGTGAGAGCAGGGACCATTTCAGTGCAACTACAGTCGTCAAAAGCAGAGCATACGGGCTGGTTTGCTTGGCTGGTCGATATTAGTCTTTTGCTGCTGTAGCACTCGGTTGGCTTCCTTACTCCCCATCCAGACATTCTCTATGGCAGCGCCTAGCTTTGCTGAGGCCATATCTGATTCAAGCGGATACAAGTCGTTCAAGCGCAGGGTACTCTTGTAACCAGTGAGAAACAGACGGTTCAGCCACCAGAAAACTGTGCGATTATATATGTTGCTGGTGGTTTCGGGCGACAACTTGATTTCTGGTCCTTGCGAACTTGCTTGTTTCTCTCGTCCTTCCAGGACCGTGATGATGAATTTAACAGCCAACGTCGCAGTGAATACAGCTGCGATCGGGGCATTGGTGGTGCGAAGCCATAATGATCGAGCTTGGACGGCATCAAACAGGACTGAAAAAAAGAGATAAACGCTAAGCAACGTCGACGGCCTAACAGATTGCTGGTGTTCATAATAGGAGAGAAGAGCAAGCACAAGTGCAGCAACCAACGAGAAGACAGCAGCCGGGATGGAAGCAGACGTTTGGAGGGACGTCCTCAAACACCACAGGGGAAGCAGTGTCAATTGAAGAGCGATCAGTAGGCTAATAGTGCCCTAATAGAGTCAAAGAAGGACCGAGTCAGCTTATCCCGATACAAACACTGTATTACCAATTTGACCAGTTGGCTCCTCGATTTACGGATCACCACTGGGGCTCGGCAGAGCTGCCACAGCCGAGGACCGCTGGAAACCAAGAACAAGATTGATGGCACAGTTGAAAGCCAGATCTGTTCAAAGTAGATGGTGAAGTCAAACCCTCCATGACAAGGTGTTGGCAAAGTCGGCCCCCAGGAGTGATCTGCTTCTAGACATGATAAAGACATTGTGTGTTTCGGGCGATACCAGGAATGGCAACAAAGACCCGGGATGGTGCGGTCAAACCCGTTGTATGGTCCGAGGTATGAGAGAGATGGCAAAGCAGAGATTAGAGGCCTTGCTCATAGACAGCATGTTGAATTCCATGCAAGATCAACTTCTCCAGAGATTCAGTGATGACAACAATGGGACTGGTGCTGATGTCACGTGGGGGTACAGGGGCTCTCTCAGTCACTCCTCTGGTGTCAAGGCTTCTTTCTAATCAGTCAAGCAAAAAAGTCACTATTTCACTCAAAGGCTTAGCCTTTTGGTCATCTTTCCTATGATGGGCGTCATATTTGACAATTAACTCCCCTCTTTCCTCTCTGTCATCCAACAAGCATGCATATCATGCCACAACAACCACGCGGTATAAATATCCGACTCCGGTTCTTCTTCCCTCGTCTAAATTATTTCGCATATTACTGATACATCTATTGAATAGCCTTGGATAGAAATGCTTACTACTGATTCCACATCAGCAATCTCTACATCTCAAGGTTAGTACTCTAATGGAAGACGTCGCGCAGAATGTCAGTCCCGGGAGTGTAACACTGCTGTTGTGGATGGGAATGATGTACCTCTTCTATAACGCTTTGAAAAGGTCACTGGTTGCTGGGTGCATCGTTTTTGATGAAGAGGTCTAGTATCTAGCCAACAGGACCTTGAGTATATTGACTGCTTGGCCACATCCACCTGTTTTTTCATCGAGATGAAACCCACGGCCTGCTTGATTCCAATCCCTATATGCTACGCCGATCACCTACGGAATCGACTACATGGCCCTCCATCTCCTAGCATGTTCACAAGATGGTGCTCGCATCCGTGTATTGTCCCACCCAACCCGAGCATCCACCGGCGAAGGTAAATTCTGGTGCCAGATCGTGTTCATTGCCAACAATGATCGCCAAGGAGGTATTTGTACGATTCGGGACCCATACTCGCGAGATCCTTGTCGATAGCCATCCAGTGGTAAAAGCCCAGATTGTCATGGGCCAATCTTTCTTCAAGCAGGGAGACTATGTTCCCCCCTTCTCACCGGACGCTCGTCATCGCTGAAATCCAACCGAACGCTCCACTCCTTGCAGAAGTCACAGCAAAACACGTCCCCGAAATCTACAAACACAGCAATTATTCGTTCCTCCCAGAGCGCAATTTCCTTCCACAAATGCAGTACGCCAATCGAATTCGTCTGGGACTGGGGATCAGGACGATATTCGACCTAGCAAGCACATTGCTCCACCCAATCAATGCCAGCTGCGGCCTAGAGGCCCGAGTAGTCGGTGTAGCGAATCCAGTCCTCGGCCCTGTTTTGGCACAGGCAATCCGAGACATGGGGGTTCGGAAAGCCCTCGTGGTCTGCGGGAACGACTCAATGGATATTATCGCTCCGGAGGGTCCAACCTCATGCTGGATGCTTACGGATCCACCTGCCGAGGGCACAAATGCAGAAATACAGCACTTTCGCCTCCAGCCGGAGGACTTTGGGCTGTCGGAGAATCCGCTGGCCAGCATTCAGGCGAAAGGTAGTGCTGAGCAAGAGGCTAGTATTCTCTCTCAGCTGCTGCATAATCAGTTGTCTGGCAACGACCCTGTTTTGCAATGTGTGCTTATGCATGTGGCCGCACTTTTTGTTACTTCCGGTGTCTGTGGTACATTGCAAGACGATGGCATTGCAGAGATGGGACCCGGTGGCGGTAGATGGAAGGAGGGTGTCCGTCTCGCAAGGTCTTGTATCGTGAGTGGTGATGCTCCGAAGGCTTTTGAAACCTTTGCCTACGTGACGAGTGAATCATACATAAGATAACTTTTCATCCTTCACCTAGGAGACTCCAAACTATCCAGATAAGCATGCCCATCAGTTATCAGTACAGTGAATTGAAAGATAGAACTGAAACCCATCCTCTTCCAAACCCCAAGTAGCCAGGTCAGGTGAGCTATCCAGACGACCACTGTCATGTTAAGCTTAAGAAAATCTTAAACACCAATGCACTTGTCTGACAGCCACAACAGTGTGCTTATACACAGCACATAGAGCTGCCTATGCATGTTTAAGGCTACTCTTTGACAGTAACTATGAGTTCAGTAAGCTATTAGTGAACATCCTGCACCTAATACCAGACTTTGATCTTGGCGATGCTGATTCACGACAGGGCTTCCTCGCATACTGCCGTGGTGCATGCTATTCTCAATGATCGATGTCTATTTTTATATAGAATCAAGACTGCTAACCTCTCTTCCTTTCCTCTTTTATGTTCAATCTACTCGTTGTAGGTTATCCGACAGATACTTGGTGTCCGACTTAGTCACTGCACAATCCTCACTGCTAAAATATCTTGACGGAGCTTTCGATTACCGTGGTTGGAGCAACTACCACCATGATACGAGAACTGACAGCTTTCTCACTTCTTTCTCTCTAATAAACTCAAGCCATCATGAACTCCACTGGCTTCGAGCCTCACCCAGTCTATGATGGATCCAAAACAGCTATTCTAACTGGCTCACAAAATTGTAAATTGCTCAATATTGTAAGAGGATGAATAAAGGGTATGTTAACCAGATGTTTCTCTCAGGTGCCCTTGTGTCTGTCAGACTGGAGAACCATATTTTAAGTGAGGGAGTCCTGTCGAACAAGGTTGTTCATGAATCAGCTGCCAATATTAGGACTTATTATAGCCTTTCGTGGTGCAGGATGCTAATGGCTTTGGTGGACCCATGGTTATTCTAAACGACATAAGTAACCTCAAATTGGAAAACCAGCTGTGATGCTGTGTATAAACTCTCCATTGTGGCTGCCTGGGCAAGGGATTGAATTTTGGAGCTATACTAGTATTTTCTCAAGCTTAACTATTGCAGCAGTGTTAAGTTGGTAAGAAGGTAATGGATGAGCTACATATCCATTGACATCACCATTATCTCCCAGACGAATTTCTTGTCTAGTCATTCAACGTATAAGCATGACATCATCTCATCTTTGAGGTGTGCAAAGATTGTATTACATTCTTGCACGAGGAATATCGCCAGTAGCCATATGTTGATGTGCTGAACGGAGAAAGATGGGTATCGATAGGCGCTGGTCTCCTCTATCCTACTTTTCGCCTCCATCAAGGGTCGATCCAATGCTCTGCTGTGTGATTTGTGGAACAAAGGTTCCACATTACCAACTGGACAAAGTATTGCAGGAGCGAGAGGACTGGGCCAAGCTTGCAAGTAGGAGAGGGCGGTCTGCATCTGCAACTGTCCCAGCTGAAGAACTGGAGCGGACAGACTTTGTGAAACATCCAACTGGGTGGTCGTTCTTCTTTCGAGCTAGTCAGTCACCGCTGCGATAGTTCCTCGGAGGTGATCATGCTGATTGAGTCGCATTGTCTAGTTCTCGACGACCCGAAGACAAACCAGATGCTTTTATCTGGAATCTCACACGGAAGTCCGTTGAGATCTTGGGAACTGCCAATCCCGAGGGACCCCCAGAGGGCCTTCATCAGAAATTCGGCACTAAAGGAGAACCGTTGGAATGCGGACTTCCACATGGCGAATCTGTTCGAACACGACAAGAACCGAACGGCAGGCGAACGCATAGGATATCCGATACATGTCCACTGCTGGCTGCTCCTCGAACGTTTTGTTGGACATGATCTCATCATGCCAAATCTTCATATATTTGTCCGTGCTGTTGAAGAGTTTTGGAAAGAAAACAGGAAGCACTGGGCTGTTTGCTTGGACCATTGGTCTAATGATAGGATCTGCTATAGGTATTTCGCACACTGGCTCAAGCAACAGCATTCATCTCCCAAGGCTGGGTCTTCTAAGCGCCGGGCGCAGGCTGTAGATTGGTCTGAGGGCAAGCAGCATCAACCTGGGAGTCCATTGAGAATTCCCGGCATACAACGCTTGATCACTCAATATATGCAGCCTCCAAAGGACAATTCTGGTCAAGGGCTAAATAGAATCCAGTCACAGGGTTTCTGCCTGCCTCTCGATATAGCCGTGATTATTGTGGACGTAGTTTACGACTCTCAGCCTCACAGTCGACGGCGCATTAACGATATACGTAACCTGCTCGAAGCCTTTCGATGGAGATTGCCTGACACTTACTGGCAAGCACGATGCAACACAAAGCTAGTGTTTGAACTCGACGACCTGATCAAGGCCGGAACTGCGGTAAACTGGACAGAACTGTGTCTGGGAATCGAGGAGCTACTCTTAGACGATGATTGGTGCTGTACTAGTGGGTTGAAGAATCGTGCTCGAACACTGAAGCTGCTCGGTGGCATCAAAAAAAATTTTCTCCACCTCTTGAATGAGGACGTTAGCCAGTGATTTTAGATGTAGAAGCTTAGTTATGTACTACGGGGGATTCGCTCATAGTCCCAAGATATCAACTAGCTACGATGGGCTAGATGGTTGTTTAATCTCTTCCATTTATTGTTTTTCTTCTTTTCTTTCTTCTTTTCTTGTTCTGTTTGGTTGTACTGAGTATGAAAGTCTACTGCCATATGCCATATTCACTACCCGGGGAGGTGGTTAGTGTATTCACCATCCAGTGTTGCTATATTCACTATCTTGTCTACTTCCCAGTACCTTGGCGGGGTAGCATCCAGATATATTAAGCCCCCTGCCCCCAGAGTCTTCCCAAGTGTTTCTCTTTCTTCCTACCACTCTCTCCAAGGCCCACCGAAAGACCAACTCAATGACAATATGGCTGTGATCTGTCAAATATTGCTACAAGCATTGTACGTATTGCACTTCGATGGAACCATGTATTTTGTTGACTAACTGATGCTAGTACATGGACGTCCCCGCAATAGCTTCCGAGATACGTCGGCTGCACTCGCGCAGTAACGAAGGCGAGGTCAATGGAATCTGGAACTCAATCTTAAACTGGGTTTTTGACCCAGTTAATGGGTTCATCACCCAGCCCCAGGCAATGCACACTGGAACCGGAGGAGCCAGGGGCTTTTCGGATTTCAACACCCTCGAGGTCGCGGGGGGGACACGCCGTTCCTTCCTCATTACGCAGTGCAAGTCTGCGGACGGCGAAGGGCAGGAGTCTGTTTGGTCAGATGGGGCAGGCCGGCCCCTGAGATATCTCAGGACGCAGCATGGAAACCGCCGCGGCCTCCAGCGCCCCGTGTATGGGATCCTCGCGATCGGAAGAAGGGTGCGCTTCTTCCGGTATTATCGAGCCACAGACGATATCAGGGGTTGGCGCCCGGGCAATGGCTGGGAGCCACATCACGGAGGCAGAGAGTTCGATCTGCTGGAGCAGAAGGCCGCATGGGTTCAGAGAGCCCTGCATTGACGCCGTCAGCTGAACTGCAGCATTTTGGCCAGATGTTATGGCGGCGTTGTTTGCCACAATGAAGAAAATAAGGTACGTTGGTTGCTTCACCACTGCAGTAGCTTTCAATCAGTGCAAGGCTAACATTCCAACGGTGGTGTCCTAGGACGAATTCCTTACGACTCAACATTCGAAACTTTCCTCGATCCTTTTTCCTTGCGGCAACCCTTTAGCGGAGTACTGTTACTGTTTGAACAATGTCTTCTCTCGGACACTATCTTAACCAATTCTAGACAAATGGACAGGACTGCAAGGCCGCAAGCATGAATACAGGAGGGTCGACGGAGATGGGATTCCAACCTTATCCAGGGGAAAGCAACCCGCACGTTGCTCAAACCTCAATGGTCTTTTGAAATCCTCGGCTAGATAGCCCTTGTTTAGTTTCAAATTCCCTACGATTTGTACTAAACAATGATTGACACCTTTAACGTCCTGTATTCGCGGATTCCCTTCAATATGCCATCGATTGTTTGGAAAGCTACGAGAGATGGAGCATATCACACATGGGCAGAAGAATTCCACATACTTGTCCTTTTCAGTTCAGGCAGTTTGCGAAGATTCCAAGTATGACCCTTTTATTATTACTCTCGCCTAAAAAGCGACTCTAGTCAAATTATCGGCACACCAAAGGGATATGGCTGTGCAACAACGGGGCAACTCTTCAGAAATCAACTATCCCTTGTAAATCGGGAGATGATACTTGAAAGAGACAACAGGGGAGCATGAACTCCGTGGTTGAAGTGACTTTAGACCATTAGAGCCGTATCTAAACTCTTTGGCACCAATGTATCAAGAAAAACATTAGACACCCCGAGATTGGCTACTCCTGCGTTTCGTAGTAATGCCTGACCAGATTATTGCAAAAGTTGACAACAGACAAACCTGAAGAGACATATAACCAATAGGATTCAGACACTGAATCAGTAAAGCATATATTTATATCCGTCTGGAGATACAAAAGAGAGTAGATGACAAACCAGTCTTCACCCACGCATTAAAGAACAGATTCAATATTCACTAAACCCCAAGGAAGATTTCAATGAGTGGAAGGTTATTCATAAAATTCCTTGTGTCGAAATGTCTTGATCTTGGCGAATCGTGACTGAAAACATGGACTGATGCCAAGTCCAAGAATACGAGGGATGATCCTTTAAAAGTGGGATCTTCCCCTCCATCGGCGACGAAATTCTCACCACGTCAACCCTCAAAAACAGACCTCCAACATGTTTGCAGCAGCCAACCAAGAAGACAGTCTGAAAGACCTCAGCCGCGCCGCGGAGGCATTCTGGGAAAGGGGACAATTGATGGAAGCCGAGGAAACTGCACGGCGTGCGTTGGACGGGCAGAAACAGCTTCTTGGGGATGGCCATCGCGAAACATTGACAACAGCCACTACACTGGCAGGGACCCTGAAGCGGCAGGACCGCGACGATGAAGCTGCGACAATGTACGAAAACATCCTGCAAACTGCCGACGAGGTCCTCGGGGGCGATGACCTTGTTACCTTGCGGGTTCTCAATGATTTTGGGTTACTCTTACAAAAACAAAAGAAATATGACGCCGCGCGTCGGATGCAGGAACGGGCCGTGAGGGCGTATATTGCGCACTATGGCGAAGAACACAGTTCCAGCCTTATCAGCATGACGAATCTGGCGCGAGTGATGAAGGATCAACGTGACTACGAGGAGGCAGAAGGCCTATTTCGACACGGACTGGCACTTCGCGAGGAGCTGCTGGGCGTCACGCATCCTGAAACCATGGATAGTGTAAGGTTCTTGGGCGAGCTCCTGCTGGAGACGGGCCGAGGAGAGGAGGCCGAATCGCTGCTCAGAGAGACCATCGATCGACAGGTGGCACTGATCGGAGGAAACAGCACGGACTTGCTACATTGTATGAGCAGCTTTGCGACGCTGATGCTGGAGCATGGTCGCACGGACGCTGCGGCTGATATCGCCAAACGCGCAGCCGAGACTAGAAGACAATGGAAAGACAAGCACGCCCTAGATACTGTAGATCCCAACACGCTCACGTCACTGAACAACCTGGCAGGCGTGCTACAGAGCAGCGGTCACAATTCCGACGCCGAAGAAATCCACCGAGAGGTCCTCGAGGGGTCACTTTTGGTCCTGGGACCCGATCATCCGAATACACTGTCAACGTGCAGTAATTTGGCCCAGGTACTAGAGAAACGCGGTGCATTCGCCGAGGCAGAAGACCTAAACCGACAGGCGTATCAGGGACGAGTCAGGATGCTAGGTCCTGAACATTCCAGGACAATAGCTAGCATGGCGGACCTGGTCAATGTGCTGGCGTGGCAGGAAAAGTGCGTCGAGGCAACAGAACTAAACACTTCCCTGGTTGATGTGAAGCGGAAGGTGTTGGGTCCCGATGACCCCTCGACGCTGTGGAGTATGTTTACGCTTGGAGTGCTCTATGAGCGCCAGGGAAAGTTGGGTACTGCGCGAGACATATTCGACACTGCATTTGAAGCAGCGAAAACTGCCTGTCCACCAGATCATCCTGTCCGCAGGTCATGCGAAGCCGCTTGCTACAGACTAATACACGTTCGAGACACTCAGGATTAGGTCGCTGGAGGCATTGCATACATCTCTTGTCTTGATATTCTCTGATCAGCATGTTAACATTTCATATTTCCGGAATAAGTTCTTATATACTGAAGCACAATCCCAGCGATCTCGTCCGAACGCTCCCTTCACCACGCCACACTATCATCTTTTGTAGAGTCTTTTTCGACTACTTCAGACATTGAATCCAGTTTAAAGTGATCTGAACGGTAGTATATATATCTAGCGTCTTTGTTCGCATTAGACACATCATCTAACACATGGTTCTCAGATCTCTGTCAGGCAGTGTCCCACCCCCACGCTTATTTCCGTTCACAAAGACTGGCGAATCAGCTGCCTTGACTAGTTGTAGATTAGGTATAGATTGATTTGCACTATTGGAGTACACGAGATCTCCGCGCTTGAAGAGCGCCCAGAGAAGGTCGTATGTGATTTGTCCATGCCGAAATAGGGAGGTGACTCTTCACATCAGATCATATTCGTCCTCCCTTGATTCAACATTCTCTACTTTAGGACCTCATAGCGTTGTCATCTGAAAAGCCCATTCTCCTAAAAATGATAGCCCAGCATCCGCTTTGGTTCCCCAGGGAATTTTTTTTCCGTCGAAATGACAACTCGGCGCGAATTACCGTTGTGTGCAATGGTCAATGCTTTCAGATACGATTATCGCCAGCGAACTTCGATCAATCTCCATCATCTTTGGAAACTTATACCCGCCTCATGGAATCTGTGTGCAATGACGATGACTGCGATCGTGCTGATTCGGCAGAGGAAGACCTAATGAATTGGGCCTTGCGTCCTTTTCTACAGATCTTCTCCCAGGCTCAGCCCACATTGTCGAATCGACTTCGTTTCACGCTTCGAGATTACCTCTTCCCAGAAACGTATCGCTACTTACTCTATGTGGTCAACGAGCGACTGGAACCTCGCTTCGATTTTGAAGTTCCAAGGCAACCGCGGGCAAACGGCGTGGCCCTTGGTGACTTTACCTTATACCCGAAATGGCGCGTGTTCAGCCCAGCAGAGATAGAAATTTGCGTCTCCAATCACAGTGAAGCTTGTTCTAAACTTCCAAGGAAGGTGCTCGCTGGAGGTGCCACGTGCTTTTTCAAACTGCTTGATTACGATGATACGAGGGCCGCCATCCGTGAACTGGCGATATACAAGCAAATGGAGATCTCAGGCCTGAGTGATAAAGTGCAAGTTCCTCGCTTGATCGGCGTGGTTCAGGATGAACAAGGATCCTATATCATTGGGATTTTATTATCTTGGGTAAACTGCAGAAACAGAACTTTGGAATGCTCACTGGGTCCTGAAACTCCGTCGACGCTGCGGAGAAAGTGGGATATGCAAGTGACAACGACTTTGGCTTGTTTGCATGAAGCTCATATTATATGGGGGGATGCGAAGGCAGCAAACATTTTGATTGATGTCAACGACGATGCCTGGATTATCGATTTTGGTGGTGGATACACGCGAGGGTGGGTTGGAAAGGATGAAATGGAGACTGTCCAAGGTGACAAAGAAGGGCTTTCCAAGATAAAGCAATTCCTCTATGGGGAAAAGTCTGTATGATATTCGGGCCAATTTTAGATCAGGGGAGTTTGAAGAGACAACAGACCATATGAACAAGAAATATGAGAGATATCTTCAGCCAACGAAGCATGGAGGCAAAAACCTCATAAATCTATCCAAGCCTGTACATAGTATACCAGCTTCCAGCTGAAATAACAGCCTGTATCTTACGCGGCATGGTCGTACTCAGACATAAGCCGGGCCCTCCCATCCAACCAGGCACCGTGAGGTAGCACTGACTATGCCTATTAATGAAATTACTCGCACATCACTAGCATAGAGTGTGCGTTAGTAATTCAGATTTAGATTTTTCTTATACTCTGTCCCAGCCACCCATGAAACCCGTGGCTATGTAGGGACACTACACTGCCTGCTTGGCAGCTTCGCAGTTAGCCCACTTATGAACATATTTCTGCCTCAAATATGCGCCTCAGCACACTAGCATAGTAAGGTCTATCTTGTGACGGTCTTAGAGTTGCATAACCGAACTGCTAGAATCGAATCCAACGGTCTAGAGTTGCATTCGGTCCGAGTTAAGGCGAGTTCAAAACCAGTTGGCACCGAACCACTGCGATTCGAGTTCGAACCAACCCTGATCTGGTCTAATTCGGTGTGACTAAACTACTTATATCAGGCACTAACTAACCCTGGTTACATTCAGTTCGGTTTGGTTCGGTTTCGGGTTCGGGTATGCAACTCTAGTTCTAAGAGGCCTTAGATCACATGCTCCTAGTGGATTATCCATCTCCATGTGGATTGGGTATGGTTAACCCATTTAGTTATGGTTGGATTAGCTTGACCTGAGAGTCCGCCGGGACTTTTCCGCATCCTGTCGATGATGCGTGCCGTCGGTCTTCTATTTGCTCGATCTTATTGCTTCCAGCTCGTGCTATCCATGAGCTTACATGAGCTTAGGCAATTGCGTGCCGGGAAACAGGATCAGCTTCCTTGCTTATGTCTATCAGAATTTGACCATATAAGTCTCCTATACTCCGTACAGCTCTTTTCAATGACATTTTTATCAGTGGGTTCCTTTCGGGACTCCACCCCCGGAATATTCCCCGCACATTCTGGGGTTGGTCCATCCACGTTTTCTGGGTCAGGACGGGAACAAAAAGACAGAGAGAACCCAGCGGGAAACTCCGTTCGCTATTAACACATTAGTAGTTATTTAACTATCAGGTCTGTGGCAAAAAGCGTGCCATCTGCAGCATTATGGCTTTCCGGGGGAGGTGGAGAGGAACCTTACGAGGCCATTAAGGTCTCCTCCTCTCCTTGCTTCCGGCGGGGATACGATCGAATCCCACCGTCTTTATAACGGCCCGTTTCCCCAGATCGGCAAGCACACTAGAATTCTTTTCTCCACTCACTGGACTTATCAAACTTGTCGCTGATCATCCCATCCGGACACCGTCATTATGGGCAACGAGACGGTTGTCCCGTCCGAGAACGAGCTGAGAAACTTCAACCCTGGCAACCCCGATGTGGTCGAGCTCATCCGCCATGCGCAGGAAAGCGATGCTGCTGATCGCTTACTCACCGTGAGACAAGCCCTGTCAAAGTACAAAAAGGCCGTCTTCTGGGCCATGTTCCTTTCTACCAGTTTGATTATGGAGGGATACGATCTGGTCATTGTCAGTATTCCTTTCTCCCCTGAATAGGAGGAGTAAAATCTAACACAAGGATTGACAGATCACCTCTTTCTACGGCCAATCTCAGTTTATCGAACGATTCGGCGAGTTCTCGGCCAAGACAGGAACCAAGGTTATCACAGCGGCATGGCAGTCGGGGTTGTCGAACTCGTCCATGGTAGGACAGTTGGCCGGGTTGCTCGTCAACGCGTATACTCAGGACCGGTTTGGCTGTCGACCAACAATGATGTTCTTCATGGCCTGGATGGCGGTTATGATCTTCATTCCGGTCTTTGCGCCTTCCTTGCCGATCCTGGCCTGGGGTGAGGCGATGTGCGGCGTCTCGTGGGGAGTTTTTCAGGTTCGTCTACTTTCTCTGTTCTATGCATAATATTGATTCTTTTAATAGACCCTCTCGACTACGTATGCCTCCGAAGTCGTCCCCACCGTCCTACGGCCGTACGTCACAGCCTATGTCTGCATGTGCTGGGGTGCTGGCATTCTTCTGTCTTCCGGTGTTGTTCGTGCCGTCGCTGGCGTCGAAGGAGACCTAGGCTGGCGGCTACCGTTTGTTCTGCAGTGGGTCTGGCCTATTCCCCTGTTTATAGGAGCGTACCTGGCCCCCGAATCGCCCTGGAATGCCGTCCGACGGGGCAAGGTCGACCTGGCGAGAGAGAGCTTGAAACGCCTTCGACGGGATACTCCGGGCAAAGAGCGTGAGGTCGAGGCTACGCTGGCGTATATCCAGCATACCACGAAGCTGGAGCAAGCTGTGACAGAGGATGCAAGCTTCCTCGAATGCTTCAAGGGGACGAACTTGCGGCGAACGGAAATTGTAGGTCGCTCGATTGCATCCAGCCTTACTACGAAAATGGCGCTAGTTGCTAACCAGTCTACTAGAATTGTGTCGTCTGGGCGGCTCAAACCCTCTGCGGCAATGCCATCCTCGGTTACTCGGTCGTCTTTCTCGAAGCTGCTGGATTTACGGAACTGCAAGCCTTCGACGTCAACATCTCCCTTTCTGCATGCTACATCATCGGCGGCATCATCTGCTGGCTTCTCTTCCCGCACTTTGGCCGCGCGACAATTTACATGAGCGGCTTATCGTTCATGTTTGTCTGTATGGTGGTCATTGGTGGTCTTGGCTTTGCAGAAGGCAGCACGGGCGCACAGCTGGCCATCGGCATCCTCCTGGTCATTTCGACTCTCTGCAATATGATCACCGTCGGACCGGTCTGCTACCCGATCGTTGCCGAAACACCTTCGGGACGATTGAGATATAAGACGATCGTGATTGGAAGATTTGTGTACAACCTGACGGGCATCTTCAGTAACTCGCTTACACCGCGCATGATTGCTGCTTCTTGTAAGATTCCACCTTTTTTACCGGATGAAAACCGCTGACCTTGACCATTGTAGCATGGAACTGGGGAGCAAAAACAGGTCTGTTCTATGCTGGCACCAACCTCCTCTGCAACATCTGGTGCTGGTTCCGTCTTCCTGAGACCAAGGACCGCACCTTTGGAGAGATTGACTTGCTCTTCCACCACCGTGTGCCCGCAAGAAAGTTCAAATATACTAAAGTGGACCGTATGTTGCTCCTCGCCTTAGCCCGTGTCTACTATGCTAATATAATGGACAGAGTTTGCCCATCAGCGGGAATACATATCAAAGGAGGAGGAGGGAAATATGGGAATGGCGGAGCATATTGCTTAAACAGCTATTCCTTGACTTGCCATGTTATTGAGGGAGGGCGCGTTTCTGTTAGGTAAAGCTCTTCGATAATGTCAGGAATTTGTGCAATAGTATCTGTGCTCTTTCTGAAATTCCATTTGTATATCCGATCGTAGGAAATATATATTCCGCCTTGATGACTACTTCCGGCGTAGGCAATAAAAGAACATCTTTAGAAGCTAAGATAGGCTTTCAGACTATATCTGCCTCCTGGCGTGTATCCCGACGCAGGTCAGTTGCAGATTGCAAAACAGCCTGACTAGGCATTCTGCAGATCGCTCACTTGCGCGCACATGTATGGTGATACAAGCCTGACAAATACGGCGACGTCGTACACTCCGGTCCAGACGAGGTCTCCTTCATTACCAAGGAAGCCTGGAAAGATATCTATGGACATGGCGACCGCCAGCTCCCGAAAGTGCAAATCTCCACCAACAGAGGCAATGACATCTTTAGCGCCAACGACGTGGACCATGCTCGTTTCCGAAAGGCACTCTCCCACGCGATTTTGGCCAAGGCCTGCAGGCACAGGAGTGCATCCTCACATAATACATCGATAAACTGATCGAGCGACTGAGGGATTCGCGGAGTCGGGGAGAGCGGCGGATATGGGCAAGTGGTTTGGGGGGTTGGATAGCTCGGAGTATCATCACTGGGTGGCGACGATGTCTGGGTCTGCGAAGGCGATTTCGTTCCGGCGAGAGCTGCATCAGTATCCGGTGGTGTCCAAGATATTCTCGCGTTTCACCGGGGATCGTTCATGGAGGCATGGAGCAAGCAGGTGGAGCATGCAAAGGTGACTGTGCATAAACGGTTGAATAACTCGACGGCTGATCGCGTTGACTTTATGGACTCGATGCTAGGGCATCATGGTGATAAGAAAGGGTAGAGTCTGGACGAGCTGGAGCAAAATGCGAATATCCTCATTCTGGCTGGGAGTGAGACTACGGCTGCACTTTTTCCTGGCGTTACGTACTGGCTTCTTCGGACCCAAGATGCGATTGATAAAGTGACGCGCGAGGTGGGAGGAACCTTTGCATCGGAGACGGACGTCACTTTCAACCGGGTCAGGCAAAGTTGCCATACATGCTAGCATGCCTGAAAGAAGCCTTTCGGCTGTATCCTCCTGTGCCAGGAGGATTCCAGCGTTTGACGGAAGTGCCCACCTGGATCTCGGGCTACCGCGTTCCTGCGAATATAGGTCGTCATTGAGAATATAACGGGCCCAGACTGACTCTCCCGGACCAAGGTCTGTGTTCACCAGTTCGCCGCGCACTAGTCATCGAAGAATTTCCACCAAGCAGACCGATTTATCCCTGCACGATGGCTACCAGAGGCATTCGAGGACCCTACCTCGCCGTTCTTTCGGACAACCGCGCCGTTTTTCAGTCATTCTCGATCGGGCTGCGGAACTGCGTCGGCAGGAACTTGGCTTACGCTGAGATGCGGATGATACTTGCACGGATGCTTTGGACTTTCGACCTGGAGCTGTGTGAGGAGAGTCGTGATTGGAAAGATCAGAAGATATTTGTTATTTGGGAAAGGGGTTCATTGATGTGCAGGCTTACCATGCGAGTGGATCATGGGAGCATCGAGCAGGTTGCTGAGTGAGCTGAGATAATATTGCAGCGTTTT